CGGCGGTCGGGAGGGGGGCCATGGGGTGCGTGGGGGCGAGGCCGAATGGGGGGCAGGGAGCGGCAAAGTGCTAACGAAATTCCTAATCCCTGTTCTAAATAATTCGGGGACCCATCTCGGGTTTCCGGGGTGTCAGGCTGCCCTGAGCTTGTCAGTTGCGAACGGGAGCTGGTGACATCCTAGATTATAGAGGCAGCGGGGTCCCCGTTTCCCGCCAGGGGACTACACCGCGGGGGCTGTCCCGTCGGAGTGCGGGCGCAGGTGGCTAGGTTCGGGGATCCCCTCTGGGAGCTGCTGGGGAGGAGGATCCTTGCACTCGGGCCGGGCGGCCAGGCGACCCTTGCACTCGGGCCGGGCGCGCAGCCGCCGCCACCTGCCCAAGCAGGCGGAGAGGGCCGTGGGGCTCCTCCAGCCGCAGGATCCGAGCTCCCCCCGGTGCCGCACGGGATCCCCGGAGCAGCCTCAGAGGCCGCCAGGTGCGATAGGCGAGGAAGGCCAGCTGGACCGGGCTGATTCTGGGCCTGGCATGGAGCCTGAAGAGGCTGCGCCCGCTGGGGTAGAAAGAAACAGGGCGGGAAACATAGCTCAAATCCTACCTGCATGACCGAGCTCCCTGAGGTGCGTCTAAGCAGCTCGCCTTTGGGGCCCACCCAAAATATCCGGATAATGGTTCCCCCGTCCTCAGTGCGTTGTACTTGCGTAGACGCGGGTTCAGCCCCGGGGGCCACCACGATAATTTGGGGATCTGGGGAAACCATCTCCTGGAGAGTTTGGACGATGTAAGATGCAGTTGTGATCTTCTCCAAGTCAAAACCACGCGCAAATTCCCGCATCCCACCCGCCTCTGACAGCCTGGCCTGCCCGCACCTCTCCTAGGCAAAGGGGCCAATGCTGGCGGAAACCCGCGCCCTGCTCGCCCCCTCGCTTCGCCATCAATCACTGAGCCCGCGCTCTGCGCGCCCTCCCTGAGTCCTCGGCCCAGTGGGCTTGAGGCGCCACGCCGCCCGGCGAGAAGCGCTTCTCCTCTCAGTCCCTCCAACCCAGTGTCCTTCCCAGCCCGGGCCCGCTTCGGGGCCACCCAGTCGCTTTTCCCACAATTGCGATCTTTACAAAGAGCAAACGAAAGCGGTGCCGGTTTCGGGGCGCCCAGCCGAAGTGAGCGCGGCTGCTGAGCAGCAAGCCCGCGGCGGGGGGCCCCGTCC